CTACATGTTATTTTTTATATAGAAGAAAAGTGGTCAAGCGCAATATTCTGGTGAATGTCATTTGATTTTCTCTTAAAAAATTTTTTGAACATAAAGATGTACCTTTGAACACAAATAAACAGGTTCTTTTGTTTTTTTCCTGTGGAACAAACCAGCTTTACCTGCTTTCAGACACATTAAAGAGATGTATTTATCAGCCAATTAAATACTGATTTCCATCTTCTCTTTAAATTACTAAGCAGCATTTCTCGTATATTTATTTTGTAAAAAGCAGCATGAATATGTATTCACTAAATATTTATTTAATTGTCATAAGAGCTGCAACATCACTCACAGAATGGATTTGAAATCTGACAGATTTGAATTACATTAGTCCTAAGCATTACTGCTTTGTACTGTAAACTAGCAGAATCATGCCCATATCCACTTAGTTATTAAAAGATGTATATTTTGACTTTACTTCTCAAACAAGTTAAGGAAGTTAATATAGAAAGGAAGTTCAGTGCTCTCCCACTTATGCTGCTACCTGGCCAATAACATAATATACAACACAGTCTCTTCCACCAAGCACCTTATGGAATACTAAGCCCACACCATCTGTGCACTTCAGTCTATTTCAGAGGAAGATTTCCCAAGGGCTCAACAACAGCCCAAGAGGCCTCTCTACTGCATCCACCCAATTCTTGCTCTAAAGGAACCTGCTAACGAAAGAAAAAAAGATATCCACTTTGTCCACAGTGAGGTATAGTGGCTATGGTGCTGAATTTGGAGCAGGGAGACCCAGATTCAAGTGACCTCTTGATCACGGAACCTACTGAGTGAGTTTGGGTCATTTACTCTCTCTCTAGCCTATCTCACAGGGGTGTTGTAGGGATAAACTGAGGGTTGACCCCCATATGTACTGTCTTGAGCTCTCAGGAAAAAAGGCTGGATGGAAATAAATAAAGACATTACACCATGATATGGTTTGCTTGTGAATTAGCAAGTTTTATGAAGCTAGTTGCTGTGGTTTGTAAACCTTGCTAACAGCTTAGCATGTTGCATGAATCCAACAATTAGTTCTTTAGTCAATAAACAAAAGCTAAGCAAAGCCTAGGTTCACATGATGTATGAACACAGACATGTTGTCAGTGGCCAGACACTTTTTAGTGACAGTATAGTGAATATACATTATCTGTGTGTATTAAATTTACAAAGACCAGTTCCCTGTCTTCTAGAGTTTTCTCCAGACTCCACAGTCAGAATGAGGTAATATGTCTGCTTCAGAGTTATTAGAAGCCATATGACTCTTTGGTACAAAGAGTTCCTCTGAATGATAAATTGAAATAGATGGGCAGATCTTTCAAATGTGTAGGTTTCCAAGATTTCTCTCCACCCCATTGTCTCAATTTGAGGACTCCTGTGTGAGGCAGTGGGACAAGCAGGGGTTTGGGAAAGTGTCCCTGGCAAATGCCTCTCCTCTGAGGGATTCTTCCCTAGACCAAGATAATGGGCACTGGGGTAAGCAGACTCCCTGGAGATGTATATTGCCAGGATAATAATCCTGATCTGAGATGGCAGCCTCACCTTTCCACACTGGAAGACTGGTCCTGAAGGGAAAACATTTCAAATAATTGTCCTGACAGTTTAAAAAAGGGACAAGATAATTAAAAACATTGTAACTATGTCTCCAGAAATGTCAGAGTCTCCAGAAATGCACAGATGCCATTTATGGTAATAACATTAGATTTTGTTATATACCTTTGTATATGATATGTAATAATTAGGTCATCACAAAAAAGACATGTTATCGTATTTCATGATCATTCATTGTGAAAGTGCTTTTAATGTAACAAGTGGTTGGATGGAGATGTGATAGTACAGCTATTCCATTCTCCTCACTATGGATTATAATTATGCCCCCAATTACAATCTGAGCAGCATTCCAGTGTTACATTCTAGAAGTAACTTTCCAAGTTCTATGCATAGTCTTCTGGCATTATGATGTCATGCTCTTCTGCTAACCTTTATTCACTTTGTCATTTATGACTTAAAAATCATTTTCAAATTCTAGCAACTAATCCACTAGACCACCGTGAACCTTTTTCACTCCAGCATCAGGTAACATTGTTATGGCTATTCTTTCTATACTGAAAATAATTAAATGTAATTATTACATTCTATAATATAGAACATTATATAATCTGTCTAAATTATATAGCTAAAAAACAAAATGGTATATTGATAATGAATGGCATGTATACAACCTTGGATGATGAATATCTACATAAACATCAAATGTCACAGATTATTTTATTAGTTCTGTAATAGTATTGTCAAAATAAATATGGAGGCAGAGTTCACTTTGGAATTTGTCACAGAATTTGGTTCCTGTGTCTGTATTAATGTGGCATGATCTGCTGTTGCTAATTAGTCACCGCTTAAAGTTTACTGGTTATTTGTACATAAATCCAAGCCTACCACTCAGACCTGCAAACGTGGAGATAACTGAGGATATGCCAATATCCTAGATACAATATTGAAATGTCTAGAAGGTTAACTGTTGCATGAAATGGTCTAGGTTTTGGATGATGGTGGGGTGAAAATTATTCACACACTGATCAAATTTTGACAAAGCCTCCTGTTCATAATAAGGATGTCAGTGTATCTCATATAGAAAAGAGGCATTTGAGGGACAGGAACTAAAGAAGTGTTTAAGTGCCATAGCTAAGGCACTGATCTGAAGATGTATGTTATCCCCCCCCCCCCATGAACTACTTGTGAGTGAGTACAAAGTAGTATAGCTTAATCACCAGATATAATTTAACAATAATATAGCGTAGTATTAATCAACTGTACATTTATACTTTTTTTTTTAGCATTCAGTGGAAACACTTTCTAAATTATGATTGTAGCTTGATTCATATATTACTATTGCAGCATGCTTACTGCCAAAACACTTTCACATGGTTGCATGTCATTCCTGAAATATGCAACTGAGATTACAGGATTTATTATGCCAAAGGCCTTTTTACATATAAATATGACCCATACAGGGAAACTAACATTGACACCTGGGTAATCTCTACATGGCTGATGTCCGCAATGTTACTTCTGCAATGGGTAACTCTAACCACACAGAAATATTTTTTCAGTGACAGCTGAACTACTGCAGTGACTATTAAAGTAGACCTATTTTTATGCCATTTTACTGATTGAGCTAATGGGTACAATTCCACTCCATCTCTTGTATATGGACATCCTCTTGAACATGATGTAGAAAAATTTCAGTGTATGCAGAATACAGCTGCTCGCTTTTTGACATGCTTGTATTGGCATTCTCATTTATCAGCTATAATAGATATGTGTACTGGCTGCTGCTTAGTTTCTGACCCCAGTCCAAAGTTATGGTTTAGATCTTTAAAACTAGAAATCAGGAATTCATAATTTTCTTTGGGTTAGGAGCCCCTGAAGGTATGCTATGAACCGCACTCCAAAAAGTGGTAGGGCCATACCCATAAACTACATTTGATTCGATTTAATTTACTTAATATGATTACTCTTCTGTCACATTAAACATTAGTATGGTTACACCTTCTGGAAGGCTTCTGTGGGCTCCATTCAAGCTTAAGGGGCAGGGATGTATATGGCCTTGGAATTGCAAGCTGTGTATCTCAAACAGGGATTATTTTAGCAACCTTGTAGATACTGAATACAAATTCACTAGCCAGGATGGCCAAAGGTGAAAGATGATGGAATCTGCAGGCTAACAACATTTTGATGGCCTTTTTGCTCATTCCTGATCTAAGGGATCATTTTCCTCTGTATTAATTCACTCCCATTTTTAATGACATGCAAATGTTAAAATAATAAACAAAAAATCAAGATATTAAACAATTACATTAACCAAAATATCTTTTAAAATCTGTTAATTTTACAGCTTTACTTTTAAGAAAAGTACTATATACCTTATGATTCTGCTTCTAATCCTGTTTGCAGTTTCTCATACTACTCAAATGAGACAATCTCTATTTATAGTACATAAAAATATGCAAGGCATTACAGCAGTCTTCAGTTGAGCTGGTGTAGCTGGACTAGAATTGTTTTTATTTAAAGATTTGGGGAAATTCTATAATGCAAAATTTAACTATGCTCTATTTGAGTAAACTTTTATACCATTCTACACTGCCTGAAATGTTCCTCAGATGATTCATTTCCTAATACTGCACAACAACTTTATCTAGGTAATTATAATTGTTTTTGAGAAGGTTGCTATTTTGAAAATAAATCTTTCTTTGGAAGAATGTTTTTAACTTTAGATACTAGTAAAGGCTTGTCAGGGGCTAAAGGGCACTGGGAAACCCCGAGTCACAGCTTTTTTCTGTAGCTTCACATCTCAGGATTCTTTTTGTTTTCTGGACACCAAGAATTCCCTATGGCAACCAGACAGCCATATGCAGATTAATTCAGATGTTAGCCCCACAGAGTTGGGTAGGCTTAAATTCCGTGCGTTTAAGATTGCAACCTTCAGGTGTACAATTACTGTGTAGAAGGACCCTGATAAACCAAAGGGCAGATGCCCGATGGAGTTTTAGACATGGGGACATTCTGAAAAACAGTCACGAAACTCGACTGATGCGGCGTCGGCAACCCTACCCCGAACGCGTCACTACCACGGTCAAACGTCGCCTTCGCCAACTTGGGTGCGCCAACAAGGCGGCAAGCGCTGCTTCACAAGCAACGCGCGGCCGCTCGCTAAGTATCGCGACAAACCGCGCGCGGGAAAGATATTTGCAGTCCCCCCTCCCTTCGCGTCCTCGTTATTTCAGCAACCCCTCCCCTCGGCTCGGGCCGAAAAGTACTGGAGGATATTCCGGTAGGCGGACACCTCCCCCTTTTCGACGGTGCCGATTGGTCTGTCCTACTTCTGTCGTCGATGGGCTACGCGAAAGCATTCGCGGGATGCCATTGGCCCCGCGGTCGGGATAGGAGCCGTGCGCAGATCGGCAGGGCGGGTGAGTGGGGTCGTGTGCAAACCGCGTGTGGCGCAGCCAGCAGGGACTCAACGGTAGCGGGTGGCAGGGAGGCTAGCCAGGTCTTGCGCGCGGCTAAGAAGGAGGAAAGTCCATCGCCGAGCGGCCATTCCGGATCGAGCCCTCGACGGAAACGAAAGTCCGCGAAAGGTAACCGAACTGATGGAGTGGCTTGTGAGTTCGTTGGTAGTGGGGCCTCTGTGGGCGGAGTGAATTGAGGGAAGGAGGGCGCTGGCTCGTTCCGGCCTACTGCGCGGGAAAAAAGCCTAGCCTTACCCGCATTTATTTCCAAGGAAGGGGGATACCGGCGGCCCATCGCGGATCGGCCTCCTGTGAGAGGACTGAGGCGTTGGGTAGTCACTCCTCGTGGCCGCAGCGGGACCTCCTGGGGTTCCGAGGAAAACGGAGCAGGCAAGTCCCACTCGCGGGAAGGCTCGCCGGTGTATTGGTCTCGCTTCCTCCCCCTCCCCCCCCCCCCCCCCCGCCGGCCTGTGTGCGAGTCAAGGGCGACGGGATCTGAAGTTTTACGCGGGCCGCGTGTGCTTGGAGGAGAGGCCTCCAGTGACCGTAATAGTGCGTGTGACCTGATGAAAAGGAAGCGAGGTGGGAGAACGTGGGAACCTGGGGCCGAGGCGAACGCCTAAAGCGAAAAGCTGATCTCGGCCTCGCTTCTCTCGGGGAAACTGGCTCTCGCTGGTGGCGCCGCAGCCTTCTCCATGTGACCTGCGGCCTCCACGTGTTCGGCTCCCTAATTCGTAAGAAGCAGCATTTTGCCAGGGCTTTATGATTCGGGATTGGCGTGTGTGGCCCTCTTAGCTCACTTCGGCCTCCCTATCGCCGATTGATATTGGTACGTTACTGACGAAGGGTGAAATACAACCCTCCCGATCGTAAACGTCTTTGCTCCGAAGCCAGCACGATTTGGTGGAAAGTTCGCGTACCTCAGGCTGCGCCTTTAAGGTCCCGGCCGCAGTCGGTTTGTGGGAGATTTTAGGGTGGTTTGGGTGGCAGGCTCTATTCTAAAAATTTAAAAATAGGCAGGTACAAGCAAGAATTTTGTTGTAGCATTTTATATTGCCTGGGTTGGTTATGGCTTTCGAAGAAATAGACTGGAGACAACTTGAGATCAGTCAAGGTGGATACATCCTAAAGAGGTCAGTTAAAAAAATATTACCAGATAATGATTAAAATCTGAAACAGAAGTGACAATGGAGTATTACTACTTGAAGTTAGGGAGCTTAATAGCCACAACTGGGCAGTGGAGATCAGAATGTCAGATGTGCAATTTAATATTGGCTAAAGGCTTATGTTGGCCTAAAAAACAGGTGGTGTTTATCTGTTTAGTAGTGACTGTAGGTCCTTTGATAACAAGATGATGGCATGTTTGTGTATGCTGGCCGTAATTATAGCCTTATGTTAGAAAATAATACAGGGATACAACAGAGAATTAAACATTTGAGAATTCAATGAGTTTACCAATATGGGATTTACTTTTTAATAAAGCAGATAATAGAAGTGAGTAACAAGAATTGCACCCCCAAAAAGTTACACTGTTTTTTAAAAATAATTTCTATGATGTCCAAAATGGATCGACTAGAAAATATTGCCTTGTGATGTGCTACTACTTCAGTTTGGGAAAGAGGTAAAAGTTGCTGTTGATGAACAACAAGGATAATTGCTGCTGCTTTAATTATAAAGTGATCGCCTCTGATTTTTGCTTAGTGTACAGTTAACAGTGAGGTTACTTGAATAAATTGAGTATCAATACAAAATGTTGCCCAGCAGGCTTAGCAGGTTAAACTGTACAAAAATTGAATTGATTATTTCCAGTGGCAGTTATAATGCTTCCTTTTTGGCTTGTCTAGTAAAATCATGATAAGCTGTTCTTCCTTTTTCCTTCTGAAGAACAAGCAAAGTCCTTTTATAAGGGAGACTAATAGGTCCATACCACACCTGATCAGCAGCAGTGATGCTGTAGAATAAAGTGGTGTAAAATAATTAGTGTGCCCTTATACTGATAGCAAACATAAGTTTTGTGTACATTTTGGAAGAATGACTGTTGAGTGTTAAAACTGCTTGGGAAACAGTTGAAGAACCTGTCTGATTTGTCATATCTGCTTGGCTTCAGCTGGGCTGGTGTTTTTAATAGCTGTTGCTAACTAGTAGAATCATTTACAATCTGTGTGAAAAGAGTTGGAAACAATTGTTTTGTGGGGCAACATGCATTTTATAAGGAAGGTATCTTTCTGATGCATCAAAAGAACGGTGGCTAGGACATTCTTTTTATAGGTATACAGTACATGGAGATCTTCTGTAGATTCTATGAATTGTGGGGAGAGTAAGTTGCCATAAATGCAGCTACAGAGAGGCAGGATTGCTGGTTTACCACTAAGACCAGTGAAAATGTATATTCACACATTTTCACTGGCCTTAGTGGTAAGCCAGCAATTGTTCTTTCTGGATTAGCAACATATAGCACCATGAAAAGACCCCAAAAATGAATATAAGCACAATCAGTAATTAAAGTAAGTGCAAAATACATATATATCTGATTTCTCTCAAATCAACTCATTAGTAAGGTAATATGTTTTGGAACGTGAGAATAAGAAAGACAATAGGGCATATTTGAAAAAATGATGCTGTGTAAAAGTGGGGAGATAAAATAAAGCTGCTGAATTGTGCAGGCCTGAGTGTCTCAAATATTAGCTGCTAATAAATCAGTTTTTTTAACAGATCAACAATGTACAATATTGGTATCTTATTTGTTTTCTAAACAGCATAAATTTTTGCTTAGCATCTAAATTTTCCTAATTTCATACTTAGGATGCAACAAAACAAGAGGGGAGCTTTATGTAATAGGTCTTGATGTGTGCAGTCAAGAGCTTTGTGCAGTTCTTGCATGACAGTACAGAACTTTGAGATGCACATTCTCCACTTTTTTTGTTTGATTTTAGTAATACAAATGTCTTATTTAAGGATTTTCCTAGCTAGGACTTGTTTCAGATACACTCTAGTGCGAATCTGTACAGGAAAATAGTTACAACGATAAGCCTGAAGGAAGAAATTAGATCGAATGAGAGAATAAAAATAAGGAAGTATAGGAACCAAAAATACATGACAAAAGCCAAATGAAGCAGCAAATGAAAAGAATGGGATGAGATGTATATTGGTGGTAGTAGGAACCAAAGAAGAGGAAAGTAAGGTGAAGTTAGTAAAGGACAAGAGAAGTTAATTGGGGGGCTGCTTTAAATTAAGCTAATAGCCTTGATTGTTGTACTGTATTGTAGATAGCTGTCAAATGAATAATATACATTCTATAAGAAAGTGACATATCATTTGCTAGCAAGGGTTTTGACCCATTACTTTCATTGAACTTTACTGTAAAGAAGATTTTTATCTTATCTTCATTCTGAATAATCACTAGTAACTGGAACTTGTTTAAAAATGGGAGTTGGGTGAGGGTTACGTACAAAGGATTCTTAAAGTAAAATAAAAACCTCAGCAATAGTAAATCAAGACCTTTGAACAGTATGAAAGTCTGAAAATACGTATGCCTAGTCATACTTAGAGACCTGCAGTTTAGTATTTTGAATAATTGACACTAGAAGATACATAGCTAGTTTCATCAACCATTTTGTGGGGCTTAGAGGAGACAAACGAGTTGAACCAGAATGTAATTCTTTTAAATCTGAATAAATTTCAGGTCTTGTAATGATAGAAATAGACAAAGCATACGTTTATTTTTTTTATTCATAAAGGCTCATGTGTATAGTGAAGAATTCTAATTAGTTAACATTTGTTACTATGGCTATTATTATTTATTTATTTATTTGATTTGTCCCCGCCCATCTCCCCACAACGGGGGACTCTTTATTATAGGTTTAGTAGTTTAGAAACTATGAAAGAGGGAGCTTGAATGTTTTTGGATATGAGTTCAGTTATACTGGCAAACTGTCTTGCTCTTTACATTTTAAAAATAAAATTTGGTGGTCACCCTTCAAGATGAAAAGGGTACCTAGGTGACAGTACCTGAACTTGTAATGTGCTTTTTCCCAGTCAGACTCAAATCAGGCAAAGCTTAGACTACAGTGATTCATATTCAAGGAAAGAATGTAGACTCCAACATTCATTGTATTTTTAAGTGGGACTCTGTTTTATCTATCCATGTCCTTGCTGCCTGTTTTACTTTAAATCATAGTACAGCACTGTGTTAAACTGATACCTCTGTCCATTTCAGAAATAAGTAAATAGCCAGAACCCAAGTGTTCTTATTAGTCAGAGTAACTATAGACAGGACTTTTAAAGACTTATTAAGCATTCTTAGTGCATGATTGTAAGAATTTAATGTTTTGATTTAACTTGATGCATATATGTCTTTCATTGACATGATCTTTTGAGAATAGAAATGGCCCATACATCAGATGGCTCTTCTCTAGAAAATAGGTAGTATCAAAGTGAACTGAGTTGCATGCTTCCAGGTATTACTTTTTTCAGTACAATTATTTTTATATGCCTCTTTTTCTACCCCTGGCAACAGTTGTATCTTCACAGAGATGATTTGATTTGAGCATCAGTAGTAAATGTGTATGTCTCAATTTTGTATTGGACTGTGTTAAGCAAAAAGACTAATTTTGTTTCCCAGTGTAAATAGAAGCTTTGGAAGTACATATTGATATACAGGTAGTCTTCAGCTTACGACCATAATTGAGACCGAAATTTCCATTGCCAAGCAATGTGGTAGTAAAGCGACTGCATCACTTAACGATGGCAACCAGGACTGCCACCGCTGAGAATCGCAGGTTGTTAAGTACCCACCCCAATCCAAGCCACTCCAGGTTTCTTGGTCCCTCCCAGCCTCAGGTAAGGGACTGCATCCAGCTCCCCCCCGCCTATCTCCCCCTCATCTCTGCCCTTTTGGCCAGAACCGTGAGGCAAATAAAAATCAGCCCCTGAGCTGCAGCACACCAAAAAGTAATCGCAGCTGTACCCACAGATTGGAACTGCCCAGGAATTGCAAGGAAAGAATCCAGAGGAACTGAACCAAACTGGGGTCTGACTTTGCCATCCTGCTCCTCCCTGCACCTCTTCGCCCCTCTTCCCAGCCCTCATTCGCCTGTTGGGTTTTTCCAGAATAAAGGCAGCAGCACCTCCCTCATTCCTATTGTTAGGCTAAGTCTGCAGGCAATGGCTTCCCTCCTTAAAAAATATCTGCTACCAAAGGAAGACCTGAAGGATCAAGGCAAACCTGAATGGGAGTCTGAGCTCCACTCTTACTCCCTTCCCCCCATCCAACCCTCGGATTTGCAAGAAAGATGATGGTTCCTTGTAGCCAACAAGTGCACAACCAGAACTTCCTAGCAGAGCAAATGCAGCCTTCCATGCGGGGCTCCGTTCCTGCAGGGGCCGCCACCTTCTTTGTCTCCCTGTCCAAGGGGAGAGCACCTGTCTCTAAAAGGCCACGCTTGCGTGTGGATTCAACTCCTGCAAGATGCTTCCCAGGGCAAACACCCTTTGGTGCCTTTTTGTGCTGTGGGAAAAAAAGAAGTAAAAAGCAGAGTAATTTGAGATGGATAACTAATTGTGGGGACAGGAAATTATGAAAATTTAATGAATCAATTGAAACTTAGAGCTCAGTTTAAAAATAGTTTTAAATGATCATTGAAAAAGTTGCAATTGTTGTAATCCCTCATTTTTAACCAATACTTTAACTTTAAGCATTGTTTGACATCTACATATTGTCATGAATGTAGAGTTAATTCATTTCATAGTCCATGTGCTAAAAATAATTGGTAAGCGTTTTTACACCAATGCTTAAGTAAATTATTCTAATCAATGTTTTTCTCATGCTTAGAGAACCTAATTGGAGCAATGAGCAGTAACGAGTGCTTCAAGTGTGGGCGTACTGGCCATTGGGCTCGAGAATGCCCTACCGGAATCGGTCGTGGCCGTGGAATGAGAAGCCGAGGTGGCAGAGGTATCTTCCCTTCGAAGAATTTTTTCATGAGTTTAAAATACATACATCTTACCCTGATTATACTCTTCCTATTTGCTGTATGCAGAACTAAGTAGCAATAAAGTAGAATGTAGCCTTATTATATGGATTTAAATTGATATATGTAACTACATTCATTGGAATATTAATACTGTTTGTCTTTCTAAACAGGCTTCCAATTTATGTCATCATCACTTCCAGATATCTGCTACCGCTGTGGTGAGTCTGGTCATCTTGCCAAGGATTGTGATCTTCAGGAGGATGGTAAGTATTAATAAACATTGGAGAGTAAATACATTCTAATGAACTCTGTGATTAAACTTTGTGTTAAGTACATGTCCTACAATGCTATCAAGGTTTTATAGTCTTGTTTATATTCTTTTTCTTATTGTGGAAGCCTGCTATAACTGCGGTAGAGGTGGCCATATTGCGAAGGACTGTAAGGAGCCCAAGAGAGAGCGAGAGCAATGCTGCTACAACTGTGGCAAGCCTGGCCACTTGGCTCGTGACTGTGATCATGCAGATGAGCAAAAGTGCTATTCTTGTGGGGAATTTGGACACATCCAGAAGGACTGCACCAAAGTCAAATGCTATAGGTAAAAATTGGTACTAATACAACGATGGCAATTAATCTTATACTAACGTTCCAGAATGAAAGGATTGATTAACACACTGGTGTGTGAGAGCTTCCCCAGTTGCTTGTTTCTGTAAGCATCCCACAAATTTAATATAGATCCTTTATTGTAACTTCTGCTCAGAATTTTATGAATGCTGAAGTTGCTGTGTTGTGCTTTAGAATTCAGTATATGTGTTAATACTGTAGGTGTATGGTACATTTATTCTCTTGACCAGCAATACGTTTAAATCCACAGCAGAAGAACTTTAACTGCAATATTGCAAATGCTGCATAACGTTTCTGTAAATGTACTTTTTATGGGGCTAATGTTGGTTTTGTCTGATTTCAGGTGTGGTGAAACTGGCCATGTAGCCATCAACTGCAGCAAGACTAGTGAAGTCAACTGCTATCGTTGTGGGGAGTCAGGACACCTTGCACGGGAATGCACAATTGAGGCTACAGCTTAACTGTTTTCCTTTGTCGCCCCTCCTTTTTCTGATTGATGGTTGTATTATTTTTCTCTGAATCCTCTTCACTGGCCAAAGGTTGGCAGATAGAGGCTACTCCCAGGCCAGTGAGCTTTACTTGCCGTGTTAAAGGAGGAAAGGGGTGGAAAAATCGACTTTCTGCATTTAACTACAAAAATGTTTATGTTTAGTTTGGTAGAGGTGTTATGTATAATGCTTTGTTAAAGAACCCCCTTTCCGTGCCACTGGTGAATAGGGATGGATGAGTGGAAAGAGTTAAGTCAGACCAGCAAAGCCTCCCTGGGTTCCATGGAAGTGATCGTATGCAGGAGGAAATAAGCTGGAAGTGTCTGAACTTCCACAGTAATTAATTCTATTACAATAATGGCCTTGGATTGTCTGACCTCAGTAACAATTATAACACCAAGTATTTATATCAGGCCTTACCTAAAGCATATAGCTAAGTGGGATAAACAAACAATGCACATGCCTGTTAATGGCCACAAGAGTGAGGGAGAAATTGAAGTAACTGTAATACAATAAATGAATGTCTAATGCGAGGTAACAAGGGAATGGGAAACATTAAATATTTCAAACTAAATCAAACCCAGAACATCAGTGCTTTGAGTATACACAATTTGGAGCTATTCAGGACTTGAAAAGAACTGCATTTTCACAGAAATCAAGATGTTATTTTTGTATACTATATCACTTAGACAATTGTTGAGTTTCATTTGCTTGTAATCAGTTTTTAAAGTCAGATGGTAAAAGCAATTGAAGTCCTAGAATATAGAAATGTAATTTTAAACTATCAATAAAGCTGGAGGAGGAAGGGGAGTTTGGCTGAAGTTTTTTGTTTGGGGTTTATTTTTCAGGTACATGATAACATTACAGAGGTAAATGTAGAAGAATAAAAGCTGAACAATTGACTATTGTACTACAAATGTATTATACAAAGTTAATTCCTGTATCATTTAAACTGCAGAATTTGTTAAATACATCACTTCAGCAGCAGCATTTGCATTCTTTTTTCTCTTAGGTGACCATTGTGATTAAGTAGGAATGCTTATTTACCCCTTCTCAACTAACTATCCAGTAAGCTACAGTTCAGAATGTTGAGACAGATAAGGTATGTTGGGAACATTAAAGCTTGCAGTTTCACCAATGGTGGAATTGGGGAGAAAGGAATACTGAGACCATTGAAAGGATAAAACTGTGTTGAGGAGGACATATAGAAAGTAGCTTTCTGTTCTTCCCCTGCCTTTTAGTATCTAACTGGCTTAAATCAAATTGAAGCTATCAGAGTCACAAAAAGTAAAACTGCATAAAATTTAAGGTACAGATAGATAGACCATATAAATATTTTTTATGATTTATATAGTTTTACATAAGTGACTGAAAGTTGATCAGTCCTTTAGAGCTAAGTAATCCAACAGTATTGTGACCTAATTATATTATCAGAACTTGATCTATCTCCTATTAATAGACATAGAAATTCTGGTTAACAACACACTGAACACTTTGAGCTAACACTGTCTTTTTTGGGGGGAAAAAGGGTGTGGAGCCTTAAGATAACCAGTTCTCCTAAAGGTTAAGTTCAGTCAGATGATGATGACAATGATACAATGTGCTCTCCCCTATAAAAACATCTGGTTGCCATCATCAGAGTCTGTTTTCCTCAGGATGTAGATTTGTGAAAGTGAATCATGACCTCAGAAAAATGGTTGTTGATGCTGATAAGGATGGAAAAGGTTGTTGATGCTGATAAGGATGGAAAAATACAAAGTCATTATCAAAGATTTTGGCTTCCATCAATCTAGTCACAGAGAGTAAACATGAAAGTGCAGCAGCATTGTTACTTTTCGAAAGAATGGTATGTCCAGTAAAACCTACCCCAATAGGATATGCCCTGAAGTTCACAAAGAACTTCAGAATAACAGCAAAGGATTTTTGCAAGCTCCTCATACAGCCTCATGTCAGTATTAATGAAACCAGAAAAATAGTGAACAAGAGTTCACTTGGAGAATATCAAAGAGGAAACCACTGCTCTCCAAAAGCTTATGGTCAAACATTTCAAATTTGCCAAAGACACCCTGAGTGATGAAGCAGGCTGTTGGAACCATCCTCTGAGGACAGATAAAAATAAAACTTCCTGTCATTAATGAGAAATGGTATGTTTGAGAAAAATGAAACACTATTCTAACACAAGAAACACGTCCCAACTTTGAGGCATGGCAATGGGAGCATCGTGGATTTGGACTACTTGCAATAATTGAGAGAGCAATAGGTTCTGCATTGCATCGGCAAATTTTGCAGGACAATGTTAGAGAATCAGTGATCTGAAGCTTAAATTACTCGGTGATTGCAACACAAAAATAATCCAAAATACAAGTAAATCTTACAAATGAATGGCTGAAGCATAAGAAATTTTCAATTTTTGGAATGGCCAAGTCAAAGTCCTGACCTTTATCCAGTTTGTGGTATGATTTAAAACAAGCAGCTGATGCAAAGCAGCCTAGAAATATCATTTAAGTTGATGCAGTTCTGTAAAGAGGAATCAATAATACCCCCAATATGCTGTGCAGGATTGGTCAACAGATACAGAGAACATTTGGCTAACGTAATTGCTGCTAAAGGAGATCACCACCAGTTACTAAATCTAAATTTTCGTGTAATTTTTCTAGCAAAGGCATCATACAGTACACTGTATCTTGATTAATAGTGCTTAAATTCAGATTACATGTTATGTCACAGTACTGCATAATTATGGATAGTTGTAAAGATTTCCCACATCTCGCCACTATATAGTGTAGTCATTGAACGTGGCACAATTGTAGAGAGATGCATAAAAGATATTGGAAATCTTGCTCAATACATTCTTATAATCCTGAATGGAGTAAGTTGTAAGGAACTACACAATGCAGGTAGTCCTCACTTAACACCTACAAGTGGGACCGGCAAATCCATCGCTAAGTGATGCAGTCGTTAAGTGAGACATGCAAACATGACATGATTTTACTGCCAGCTTCTCCATTGGCTACTTGCCAGAAGTGCACAAATGGCGATCACATGCCCAAGGGATGCTGTGACAGTCGTAAATGCCCACCAGTTACAAAGCAGCCGAATCGGTCACATGACCATGGGGGCACTGCGACAGTTCTAAGTGCAAGGACTGGTCACAAAGTTATTTTTTCAGCACTGTTGTAACCAAATGGTTGCTAAACTGGGCAGTTGTTAATCTGTATTACAGTTACGGAATTTTATTATTAGCAAATGATTATTTTCTTAGGTTACTCATTTTACCCAGTTAGTGCTTTTATGACATGTTGAGCTTGATTTGAAGGATATTTTACTCTCCAAATCTGTTTACCCTGGCAAACTGATGTATAAGTTTGCATCATAAATACATCACTGTATTTTATGCCTAGAAACATGTATCTTGAAAAATCTACAGGTCAGCTAAAGACTTTGCAAGGTGTCTAGTTAGGTGCTGCTGAGTTGAGCTCAGTTTCTGATATCTGCATAGACAAAGGCTTGCCATGTTACCCTGTCTCTAACTTTTAGCTCTTTCATGGACACTCTTGTGATCTCTTTGATCCTGTTGATCCAACTTAGCGATTACCACCCCCTTCTATTTTCTTCATCTTCCTAACATACTGATTTCTGCTTCAACATATACTTGCACAAGGACTGTAAAAAACAGTTTGTGGATTAACTATTCCAGGCATGGAACACCTGGTCAGTCCAGAGTTGGCTTTCCACATTAGGGAGAGAGTAGTAGTGGTGAATTAATGATCTGAACAAGGTGTGCCTTAGAAGAGCTTGTAAATGTAATCCAGTGGAATTGTGTGAGAAGGGGAAAAGCAGAACTTGAATTCTTTAAAGCTTGCAATGAAATTAAGTTCTTATTTATTTATTTAAAATGCTGCCATAATCATCAAAGACTTCTGATGGTTAACATTAATAAATACAATATAAAATCAACTACAATTGTAGTAAACACAAATACAATAATATTACAACACCCATTAGCACCAACTCTGCCTCCAAATTCTCTCTGGAAGAACTCAGTTTTCATGAGCTTTTGGAAAATCATCAGAATAGGTGCTAATCAGGCCTTGGGGGTTGCTGTTCCATAAATTAGGGGGTACAACTTAAAACATTTTCATGGGCATCCTAACCACTTGAAAATAAGGTGCCACTAATCATTTCTAGCACAAAGCAAGTTGACTCTACTTGGATACAGTAGTCCTGCAGTTACTAGGAGTGAGTCCATAGAGAACTACAATTTTTACCTGCCTGTGCTGCACGGTTAGGAGACCAGGGGGACCCCCAAGTTACAAGTCTGATCTTTCAGAGGGAGTGCCATCCCATCTAGAATTATAACCAAAACCAACATAACTTCTCTGAACAAAGTATGTCTATCTTGTTAGGATTCAACTACATCCTGTTTTGTTCCACTCAGAGTCCTGAAGTCTCAAGATACTGATTCAAGACTTCCATACCATATCCAGCTCACCCTGGGGTGTAAACCTATGTATATAAGAATATCAATGCTACATTACCCAAAATGGATATCCCCCCCCCAGCCCCCCTCCAAAACACACCTACTGGAAACATCAATAAAGAGCAGAACCACTATTTCTCATGCCAGGGGCTGAATCTAGACTGAAAGGGGTTGTGATAATAAGCTTCTTCTAGGTCACTCTAACTGATGCCCTACTACTTTTTCAACAACCTTCCCCAAAAAGGGAAGGTTGGAGATAGGACAAAAACTGTCCAAAAAAGACTGAGTCCACAGAAGGCCTCTTGAGTTAGGGGCATGCCACTGCTTCCCTCCTAGTGGCTGGCATTACCCTCTCAAATCCAGAACACACATACCCAGGCAACTGAGGGAGCCAGGAGAGGCATGGATCTAAGCCACAGGTGACCGCTCAAGTTAGATGATATCCTATCCTTTCATCAGCGTATGTGTGGGGGAAGGCAGAGATTATCTGGACAAGCTCACAGTGGCTGTAAACTGAGTGTCCCCCAACTCCCATCCCAGGGTATGACAATTACAGCCCACCAGCTCTAAAAGCTGAGGAGAACACCAAAATTTGCTTGGCAACAAGGATCAGGAACTCGGGAAAGGAACCTTTTGGGCAGCAGTGCGGCTCCTATGGGAGCAGGAACCCTGGCTTTATAGCCTGTCAGTTAAAAAACAGATCCTGTTATCACTGAAGTATGTCTAAAGTACTTTCTACTAAACCAGTAAGCACAGTATTATCTCTGTACTTCAAGGATAAAGATCAGAAACTGGATTTTTAATCAGAATGACTGGTAAAGAATTCTTGGAAACTCAAAACTTGCACTTGTTTGTACAACTTCAATTAACCAATAGAAATACTAAAAGCAATAATAGTGCATTTTTACTGTTTTTCACATGAAAGTACTCTGATTCACACAATTCAAATAAATACAAAAGTAATACAAATAAAAAATAAGCCTATAAAATACAGTAAATTTAAATTTATTTTAAAAAGAGGGTATAGGAGAAGCAGGGACAAAGATAATCCAGCAACAGGTTTTCAACAAGCAAAGGTTTTCCCCACTCTTTCCTTTACTTAATTTTTCTTCTAAATGCTTTTTCAGGGGGCGGGTACTGCTGTAGGCTTGGAGTTCCCCCGAGCCCGCCAATTCCCCCAAGTTTTAGTTTTAGCACCGGTACGCCTGGCAATCACCGGCAGGCTTCGCTGTTAGGCGTGAGATGGCATTTAAGAAACTGGCCGAAAAACAAGTAAATATCCTGCTTGGAAAATATATCACTGCTGAAGCCTCTAAGTCTATCAGAGCTC